TACCCTAACGAAAAAAATAATAGAAACGATTACAGAAATTCCAAATACCCTTACATAGCCCTTCAACTATTAACCATTAATCATTAAAAATGGTTTCCTGTAGTGTGTTTTGTGACATATTCCATTAGGATTTAGTGGTTAGGCTATAACAAGCCACTAAGGTGACAGATTACCAGTAGAGACCCACGAGGACCATTACAGTTTCCATTAAAACCAGTACGATTCCCATTATAACCAATAAAGCCAGTACAAATTCTGTAACGGTTTCTATTGGGGGGGTTTTTCAGCAGGGAGAAAATCACTTTTTGCACAATAATGATCTTGTCCTTACAATAAAACAACTGACAACTTAAACTTCCGTCTGGCTTTATAAAACTAGTGTACAGGCACTGAAATGTACAATTAGAGAAACTAATTACTAACGTTATCTGATGATATGCCAACCGATCAAATTTGATTTGAACATTATTTACAAACAAAGAACACATAGTGGAACAATAATTTCCTGTTTTGGTGATCACCCAACCCGTTCTCATCAATCTGCGTATAAATAACACGACTTTACACTTTCTAATTGCGTGTAATGCATACGCCAAATGCCAATTTTGCGTGCATATGATACGCCAATCCTTCACATTAAGAAGGTTTAGATAGTTCCTTTTGTAGCCTACGGGAAAACAAGACAAAAATACTGAGTACCCTAACGAAAAAAATAATAGAAACGATTACAGAAATTCCAAATACCCTTACATAGCCCTTCAACTATTAACCATTAATCATTAAAAATGGTTTCCTGTAGTGTGTTTTGTGACATATTCCATTAGGATTTAGTGGTTAGGCTATAACAAGCCACTAAGGTGACAGATTACCAGTAGAGACCCACGAGGACCATTACAGTTTCCATTAAAACCAGTACGATTCCCATTATAACCAATAAAGCCAGTACAAATTCTGTAACGGTTTCTATTGGGGGGGTTTTTCAGCAGGGAGAAAATCACTTTTTGCACAATAATGATCTTGTCCTTACAATAAAACAACTGACAACTTAAACTTCCGTCTGGCTTTATAAAACTAGTGTACAGGCACTGAAATGTACAATTAGAGAAACTAATTACTAACGTTATCTGATGATATGCCAACCGATCAAATTTGATTTGAACATTATTTACAAACAAAGAACACATAGTGGAACAATAATTTCCTGTTTTGGTGATCACCACTCAGTCAGCTCTTTCAGCTCTTCGGAGGCTGAGCACCACACCCACTGTCAGCAAATTCTCTATTGTCCCTCCACGATGCTACTATCCCACTCTCCCGTTTCACTGCCTTTCTCTGAGGTGCAGCTCTCTTCCTCACCAGCAGAGGACGAGGCGAGCTCGCGCATATCAACGGAGACATGCCCCTTGTCCAAATACCCACACTTGCGGTCTTTGCACTTGACCACTTGAACACTTATATGACGTATTTCCTGTATTTGGCCCAAGCGTTCAAGTGAGGATGAAGAATTTTTTTTTATTATGCTTCCATTTACAACAAACAAACAAGGTACATAAACACATCACATAATCTAACAAAACGTGAACAGCCTTAGGTTGAGCATAACCAGTGACAAACAAGATCACAATAAAACAATAATAAAGAAGAAAAGAAAAGAAAAGAAATAAATAAACAGAACAAATAAAACAAACCAAAAGGGGCTTTTTACATCCCAGACAGCAGACAGTTTCGGCCCAGATCCGGCACACATCTGGCCCGCATGGATTTCACATGGGCCAGATGTGGGCCGGATCTGGGCCAACACTATGTTGCTGTCTGGGATTAGTTTATACATGCCCCAAAAACGAAATCAATTTGAGAGCTTTCTTGTTTTTAACCAATTCTAAAGATTTGCACAACATTTTAACCTCATTCATCCACTGGTTAAAGTTGGGTTTAGATTTAAACCATCTACATTTATGAATGAAAAACTTTCCAAGACAAAGCAAGAAATTAATAACAAAATCCAACTCTTTGTTTTCCAGACAAATACCAAACCTAATTAACTTCATCGTAAGGGGTGGGAGTTCAACCTCTCTAGACTGTAGCCAGTTCTGTACATCTCTCCAAAAAAAGTTGCACCAAATCTCAACAAAAGAAAACATGCTCTAGATTTTCAATATTCGTTTCACAAAAAACACAATTATTCACATCCAAATTAAATTTCAGTCTTAAAAATTCATTGGTAGGATAAATCTCATTTAAAATTTTGAAGTTCACCTCCTTAACTTTAGGAGGAAGAGGAAAAGATATATAGCTTTTCCTAATTTTTTTAATTTCCATAATATCAAAATCTTTGAGCATGTATTCCCTTCTAATAGGGTTTGCACGTTTTATTGGTGCAAATGAGTAGTGGTGATAATTATTTTGCAACATTTGCAACTGCTTTTTATCACTAGAAGCACCACAAAATTAAATTGTGTCATCTGTTATAGGGACTACTGAACAGACATTTAGAGGTTGATTTTAAAATGCAAAGTATTGAAAATAAAAATAAAGCTCTGTACACACTTGCATTTTTACAACACTATAAGTGTGTCCCATCAGGTAATTAAAATTTGTACACACACTTGTGGTCTTCATGCTCACTTGAACACTTGGACCAAATACAGGAAATACGTCATAAAAGTAGTGAAGTGCAAAGACCGCAAGTGTGGGTATTTGGACAAGGCAAGAGACACGCTAAAAGCTTCATCCTCATTTATACTGCATCAGCTGTTATTGTTCTCCTGATTAATACAGAATTAACCATACAAGACAGAATTTTAGATAACAATGATTTTTAAAACCTCAAAAATCCATTATAGTAGTGAATGTAATGTAGAAGTGAACTAAATCTCCCTAAAATGTCTCAAAATCAAAAAACAAGTCAAATATTAAAATCAAGTAATATTTATTGTAAAAATACTGAATTTTCTGTTAGTGTTAGCTTACTGTATTTACACCTAAACAAGATAAGTCTACGCAGTGTCTCCAGTTAGATAGATAAGCAAACGTGTGTGTGTGTGTGTGTGTTGCAAGTCATGCCTGCGAGCGGAAACAGCACTGTTGTTCCAAGTCCGTCCCACCTGTTCCTGGGGTGAAAGTGCAGCATTTGGACAACAGACAGGTACTGGGCACACCCAACAGTGCCCGCTGACAGATGGGCGGCGTCCTCCTAATTCAAGAGATTCATTATTCATATATGTAACACAACATCACTGACAGGTAAATTTTTTACTTCTTGAAGCTACAGTAATGCATTTCACCCACTACCTTGGCGTTATATGTTCCGCTGTCCATCTTTCAAGCCTTCATCCTATTTTAACTGCTGGTCATTTTATTTTAGCGTGAAAAGTAAACCTTAGAAGGGACAAAATGAACGGGCAGTTCTCATTATTACTGTATAGGCCAGTGGTTCTCAATTCCAGTCCTGGCGACCCCCTGCTCTGCATACTTTGCATGTCTCTCTTATTTAAAGGGGTCATATGACGTTGTTAAAAAAGAACAGTATTTTGTGTATTTGGTGTAATGAAATGTGTTTATGTGGTTTAAGGTTCAAAAAATCTGATTCAGAGAACCAGCTCGTGGTGGTTCTCTGAAAAAAATAAAAATAAAATTGACGATTGTTGTAATCTATACTTAAAATAAAAGTTTGATTATGTTGTGTAGGCTAATTGTTGTTAACATGATTTAACAAAAACAATTTAAGTTTGATCATTTGAAGTTTAAGTCTTAATGATGACTATCAGATATCCTTAGAAATTAGAGGAAAAAAATCCAGAGTATTGGTATCCATAGTAGTATCGATAATGTCGATACTAGCCTGATAGCAATTAGTAAAAAGATGCTATTAAATATTATTTACAAATTCAGTCATAGTATTTTCTAATGCCATTAGCGTCAGTGGTTATAACAACATTAAATTATGAAAGATGAGCCATGAAGAAGTACATTTAAGAACATTTATTTTCGCATTCAGTATTGAGTACATCTTAAGTGCAAATAGTTAAGAGTCAATGGCTAAAAGAATGAACAACACTTAACAGTATAAAGATTGACAGATTCTAGCTGGCAATCACTCACTGAAGCTTCCTTCTCCTCCCTCTCTTTTGTTTTGTATCATTTTCAAAAAAAAAAAAAAGCAATGACAGCACCTAAAAACATGTGAGCTGACCATATCTAATTAGAACATTGCTAAATAGTTGCGTTTGTGCCCAGATATCATGAACCTCAACAGATCCATGCGTCTAGCTGGCAATGACGGTTATGTTAATCATGTTTACAGATATAGTGATGGAAGAGGAAAAGCCCCACCCAACGCCCAAGACACACAAAAAGCTTTTTTAAATTTTTTTCCCAAGAAGAGAGTGTCACTGGAGAGCAATAAAGCTGCAGAGATCTTTCACATACTACAGAGATTTTCAGCACAGCTGAGAAAGCACACAAACTTAAAAGATAAAAAGAGAATTCATCAGCACTTAAGACTCTTGACTTCATGCACTTCATGAGCAACACATACAAAAAAAAAATTAAAAATCACATCTAGACTTTTTGCCAGATTTGAATATTATGTTTCAAGGTTACTTCTACAATTCATTGAGTAGTTGTACTTCTGACTAGATCTTGATTTGATAGCACGCTTTGCTTTTTTTCTTCATTTTTTTCTATGGTTACAAAGCGAGGATGGGACTTCTCCTGCACAGCTAAGCCATTGCTCTAGACGTCACAATGTGTACAAAGTAGAACTATGTTCCAGTGATGTTTATTTGTGTCTGATGTGTGTGTGTACAAAGAGGACCCCTTCAGGTGCTCACAACCTCCTCCAGAGGGCCCTGTGTGGTCTACTCAGCCTTTCGTTTGGCCCCAGGAATCTTCTCCTGGATCCTGGATCCAAAACAAACATTCAAATTATATATTATATTAATTATATTATATTATATTATTATATTTGTTAAGTTTTTTTTAAGAAATTAAATTTTTATTCAGTGGGTTCTTATTAGGTCCAGATACTGATCAATCTGTGCCTAGAGACAGAGAAAGATGTAAAAAGTGAGTCATTGTAGTCATAATGCTTATGAATTATACATGATTCTGTAGTCATGGTAACAATGGTGCCACTCTGACCTGGTATTTCTCATAGACCACAGGCATCGAGAACATGGACACCACCACTGAAGCAAGATGTAATGTAAATGTTAAAAGACGGGATAAAAGAGCACATAATCAGTAAATACAGTACTCTGCCATTCAAAAAGCATACATTCATCTACATTTCAAATTACAGGTGCATATGGAACCGAAAAAGATGCTCACCCATAATAAGAAGAGTGAGTCCATTGAAGAGGGCTCCCACATAGGTCAGCAACCACATCAGCACTGCAAACTTGAGTCAAACAAACACAACTAGCAGTTCATAGACACACATATACTGAATGAAGGTATCATATGATTTATGATGCATTTATGTGCCAGTGCTGTGAAAAGCTGAACTAAAGCATTGTAGAAGTTCATAAAGTGTGAAACTGCCCTAATATTCTGTATACTAATTACTGCTACCATTATTTATGTAGATCAGAGGCCACCAATTAGCAAACCATGATGCAGACTCTAGATTTCTTACTTGTACAAAATTTTTATTACTGATAACCTACAAATTTACAATAAATATTTGTGAAATGCATAGATACACTGAAGTTCAAATTTCGGGAAAGTACGATTTAAAAAAGAAGAAAGTAATACTTTTATTCAGCAAGGATGTATTAAAATTGGCAGTAAAGACAAAAAAAAAAAATGATTTCAAATAAATGCCAGGTTCTGTCATGAAACTCTATATGGCGCAGGCTGATGGGTCATTAACACAATGGCTCTTTAGCATCTACTAGAGCATTTCGCAGCACGATTTCAGAGTTCCTTTAAAACACTCCACCTTCCCCAGCTCCACCTGTATAGATCTGCTACGGGTTATTATACTGTATATGCTACTTGTGTAGCAGCAGTGTGTCTTAAATACTCACAGCACTGTATTGGCGTATGTATTGGCAGTACTAAGTTCCTGTACTTGTTTTGCAGCAGCAGAAGCAATAATCTTCAGCAACAGCAATAACTAACAGCAGCATCAATTCAGAAGCGTAACAGATCTATTCCACCAAGACCAAATACATTAACATTAACATTACCATGCTAAAATCATCTGAGAGTTGTCATGATAGAAATGCTTTTCTTCTGAATTTCTATTCATCAAAGAATCTTAAGTATTACTGTTTCCACAAAAATAAGAAGCAGCATAACTGATTTCAACACTGCATTTTGAAGGGTCATGTGACACTGAAAACTGGAGTAATGATGCTGAAAATTCAGCTTTGCCATAAAAAGAATAAATTACATTTTTTAATTATTTTAAAGAAAAAAAAAATATATATAAAAAAAAAAATCGTACCAACTCCAAACTCTTGAACGGTAGTGTACGGCCTGGAAAGTACGATAAATGCTTTGAAGTGTGCTGGCATTTATGTGTGAGCAACCTGTTTAAATCCAGTTCAGGTAATTTCCTGATCACCTCCCATCTTTTCTATACTGTCCTATTAAGTATCACTTTAAGGAAAAATTGATAACTGAATAACCCCAAGTGTAGATTAAATTGAACGGAGGGTCACCTTTAGTGAGTCCACCAGATCCTGCACCAGAAACAGCCTGCGCAGTTCTTTCAGTGTGCTGTTGATATAGTACTGGGCGTTTTCTGCGTACTTCTGCATCTGATCATGGGACAGTGACATCTCCACCTCCAGATATGCTCTGCATCCACAATAAAACATTGTTAGTAACTCATTGAATGACACTGAGCGACACACACAGAGCAGGCTTACCTGAAGGGATGTCCCTCATCTGTTTTCTGCACAGCCTGCAGCACGGACTTGTAAACTCTGAAGCTGACGGTGGCAGAGAGGGCGGCCAGAGCCAGATAGGCCACCACGCTGACCACACTGAACTGCGTCAGAGAGAAAAGCAGCAGCAGTAAACTGCCAAACACCAGCCCACTCTGCTTCAGGTTCCGCCAGTACAGCAACTCCATCACTGGATGAACAGAGAGAGTGAAAGAAGTTCAGGTGGGGTCAGAATCACAGATGGGATGGGTGGTAGTGGTTTACAGTATGCCATAAATCTGTTTCTCATTGATATTTTAGAGTCTGCTCCATTGTAGACACATAGCCTGCTCTTGACATCAGTGGATCATACTCGTAAAACAAAGAGATCACTTTAGACAGCCTATGACTAACATTATTACACACTAGACACTAATCTGGATGACAACAATCTTGGCACGGGACAAGCAGCTTCATAAAGACAGAAGGCAAATAACATTTCTCTGCTAGAAATAATGAAAGCACTTTCAAAGAAGAGTCACATGCTGTGACATCCCAAACAGCCCCCAGATAAACATAAAAAATGGGCCTGGTAAAACAGTGAAGAAAACATTATGGATGCCACAATGAGACAGAAAGAGATTCAAAAGTCAGCAGTAATTAATGGCTGTGTTTAATCACTCCTCTTGACTGGTTCATCATACTGCCCTATATGGGACAGCACAAGTCTATAGGGCATACATGTATACTCTTACAATTATAATACAAGTTAGATTTGAAATATTAGGCAAACTTAGGAATGTAATATATATTCTTGCTTGAGCAACTGCTGACTAGCATGATAAAACTCTGCTGCATAGGGTCCTGTCCCAAATGGTGCCCTGAGCCTTATGGCCCGCCTCTGAATCCACTTTGCTGACGTTATGATGCATAGATTATTGGGTAGCAGAGCACGCATCAGAAAGTGCACATCAAGGGCACAAAGGGGGCACTCTTGAGCTCCTCCTTACACCTAAAATGTCAAATGGGACACTCTGTGGTCTTGTAGACAACAAGACCATATATGTCATTTGGGATGTGGATATACATATTATGAAATGGTTCATTCAAAAATGAAAATGATGTTATCATTTACTGGCTTTAATGTTGTTTTCAAACCTGATACGACTTTCTGTGGAAAACAAAAGAAGATATTTTGATAAGATATTTTTTGCAATGAAAAGTAGACCCCATTGACATTCATTATATGGTCAAAAACATTCTTCAAAATATCTTCTTTTGAGGTCCACAGAAGAAAGAAAGTTAAACGTGTTTGAAAACAACATGAGGGTGAGTAAAAGATGACAGATTTTTCATTATGAGTGAACTATGCCTTTAAACACTGTTGCTAAGAGACAAAGTACCACACATGTATACTGAACAATGAGCGTCTGTATTATTATGGGATTTACCATGACAGTATGTTTGTGAGGATATTCTGACCCACAGCAAGAATCACGACAAACAACTGAAGAATAAACTCCTACCATCTTTCACAAATGTATACTGATGCGCCCTGTAATTTCACCAAGCAAATTGGGTTAAAAGGGGATGAATACTCAAAAATAGACTTTCGACCTACATAACACTGTCGTTGTAGTGACACCTTACAAAAATGGCTGCTAAATAGGATGTCCTGCAACATCCTGCTCTGATCACAATCTAAAAGATGATATGGATCCGTAAGATCATATTGACACTGTGCTAAGCCTGGCTGTCAAACGCCTCTTAGATCCTCTATTGAATAACCAATTATATTTACCACATCTTGAATTCTAGGTTCAATATTTCTAGAGTAGGATTATACATTCTAAATTAGAGATCTAAAATTGGGACTATAAAGGTTTTTATGAGTTTGGGGATGAAAGTTGGATCATTCCATTCTTATCTGATCCAATCGGTTCCCAGTTTTTATTATTAAGAATGGCGCTATAACTGATTAACACATTTGTCAGTGTGAAGTGATGAAATCTGTTTTATGATTTGTAGTTAATGGAAGAACTGGCAGAGATCGTTTTGGCCTAGTACCAAATGACCATCAAGACAGTAACGGCCAATGTGGTGACTCACGCCACAGTTTTGACTAAACCGCATACTGTGAGGAGAAACAGAAACTGCTGACTTAAGAAAAGCCAGCACCTGCGGTTTGACTTTATAGCACTGAATCAATACCTAGGGGACACAGATATTAGCAATCCTGAGCCAGCGGGCATGACTAAAGGAAGAGATGGCAACAAAATACAACCCTGAGCTGACACAGGCACACCGTCATCAAACAGTACAACATATTTGGCATTTATGACATTAAAAAAGCGAGAAGCCTTTGTTTTTATCATCTTCATATCTGTTTCAATTTTTGTAATGGCTTAGTATTGCAATGCCAACAGAGCACTTTACCAGAAACTGCACAGAGTCTTCTCCACTATAAGGAGGCAATAAATCCTAAATGAATCCTAACTGAAAGGGCTCAACGCATCTTAATTCAGGTGTGCATTAATGACAATAAGAAATGAAACGATACAATATAATGACAATGGACAGACAGACAGACAGATAGATAGATAGATAGATATACAAACTACAAAATTAAATATCTTCTTAAATAGCTGCTTAAAACCAATCCTAACTGACTTTAATATAGTCAGTCTTAAAAAAATGGTAACAATTTACAATAAAGTCAACATTAGTTGATGCATTACATATCACGAGATAACAATAAAAAATACTTTACTTGATATATTAATCCAGGTTAATGTTAATTATACTAATAAATTTTAACATTTATAAACTTGTTATATGATGTTTTATGAGTGAAGATGAATTAAAACTGAACGATAGTAAATTTATAAATTACTAACACTACTCTACATTAATAAAGGCTGTAAAAAATGTTTTCATTGTTAGTTCATGGTACTTAATGTGTTAAATAATCAAACCCTTTTGTAAATTTTTTCAAAAAAAATCTTAAATATGAATGGAACAAAGACCGAATGCCATAAATATTTAAATACTCTCACATAAAGAAGCATAACATTGATTGAAATAGATCTATTTGTGTTTATAAGCCCTTGCACTGTCAGAGATGCTAAATGCTCAATATATAAATAGCCACTACCAGAAACCCTCCCTCTTAAATTGTTCTAGTTTTCTTCCTCCTGCATGAGTCCCTCTAATATGATAGTCTAGGTATTGGATTGATTAAAAGGATGGATGCACAGTTGTCTTCCAGTGGATAATAAATTAAACAGTTGTCTTCCAGTGGATAATAAATTAAACTCACTATGACACATACACATGTATCCACATCCATTCTTTCACAGAATAAACAATTTTCAGGATAAAAAGGATTCACATAGATAGCACTCTGAGCTGACTATACAGTCAGGTAGCCACACCCCACACATCTCTCTTTCTTCTTTTCTTCTGTCGCTTTACGCTCCCAATGCAGCCTGAAGGCCTTTATGATCAACACAAGCAAGCAAGCAAACGTGAAGACACTTGAAAAGGCATTTGACAGCTCTTTATGGAACTATCCACATCCAAATGCGCATCTGACCTGAAAATGAGGCAGTCATGCACATCAATGCCTATTAATTCTAATAAAACACACACAGAGTCTATGAATTCAGGATGGACCCCCTAAGTACAACGAGGAGGGAGGAGAGGAAGGGCGTGCCCAGCTGTCTCAAATCCCCCCAGTCTGGTGCTCATATGCCCATGATGGCGGTGACCTCGATTAAAAAAAAAAATGCGGGTGTGTCTGAGCATCTTCCAGAATCCAGCAGCCTCAAAAAAATCAACCCCAGACATGCACATGCATCCTCTCCGTCCCACCACATTCAACCCCATCTTGCATCCCCTGTACCCCATGGAGCCCCTTCCTCCTACCCTGGCACTTCCAGTTGCTCCAGAAACCTTCCATCTTGGTCGAGTCTGCGGCTGCCATGGTGCTGGCCTGCATGCTAGGCTGGGTGAGGGGAAGGACTGCGAATCGCTCTCTACTAATGCTACTGCTACAGCCTCTTCACTGCTTGCGCCGTATCTGTCGATTTCCCTCTCTCTCTTTCTCTCTCGCTCACCGGTTCACACCAGTGCATGAATGACCCATAGGAGGAGGAGACAGATAGGGGAGGGGAGGCAGAGATGAAGGAGAGCAGGACTTGGAGATGTGGTGACAGTGCTGCCCACTGGTGGAGGAATTAAGAATTGATTTTGTTAAAGGCAGACATTTGGGGGAGGGGCAAAGCATCATGATTGACAACTTTAAAGGAAATCAAAAAGGATGTTAAATAAAATACACCCAGTTTTTACATTTTTCGAGTTTGGCAGTCCATTCAATTTCATTGTATGGAAAATAGCAGCGTGAACTTACTGCTAAACATCTCTTTTTGTGTTTTACGTAAAAAAGTAAACCATACAGGTTTGAAAAGACATGAGATAAAGGCAGAGTAAGCGATTTCTGGTAGCCAATGTTGATATTTGAAATCACCAAAACACGCCCCTACCCCAAAAGGGTCTTGCCCCTATTTTGATAGCTCCGCCCCACATATACGTACGCAACCCAGGCAACGATTAGTTCTGTGAAACAAAGCAAAACCAATGTTACACCGTGTCTACGGACGTGAGCGGCGCGGCGCAACAAATCCCCTACAGAAAACTGCTGCCGGGTTCTATTTATGACGTGCTGACACACATTTCAAATGGTTTTCAATGGTCGCTTGATCGCGTCCAGTGTAGTCAGACTTTAGCTGTTGTAGACACGGTGTTACTCACCTATTGAGAAGAAACAAAGCAACCTCGGCGTCCGATCGCAGGCCTCCGCTCCTTGAGTTCTCTCCAGCGCTGGAAAGCTGATCCAATATTTACACGGGTCCTACTTCTTTGCCTTATCGTTCCGCAGACGTTTTCCTCTTTTGTTTTTTATCCGCCATCTCTAACTTTCTGTTGCTCGGCTCGGCTAATGTCCGTCCCATGCACTGAAAGCTCTCTCCTCCACATCACGAGTAGACACGCCCCTTATTGCTGATTGGCTACAAGTTTGTTTTGCTATTCGGCCCGAATCAGTTTTCTAAAGTGTTTTTGAAAAAATCACATACCCTGCCTTTAACTGTCTCTTTAAAACCCTGCAGATAGACTCTAAAGTGGGAGGATGAAATATTTGTTTTCCTTTTTCATTTTAGATGGGAGACTAATCCTAACTAATCCTTTTGAGGAGGTTCAAATCTGGTGGTAAACATTGCTGCAGACTCATTTTGCTCGTTCAGTGCAAAGGCTCATTCTGTACTCGATGCATCATCTCTGACAAATTTCACTCTAGACTGCTATAATAGTGAGTGTGAGTGTGTGTATATGAGTGTGTGAGGAAGGAGACATCATGAGGCAAGCCTCATGGGATATGGAGAATGACTCAGCACTCTCGGTTAAAAGAAATGGGATGAGCTCACAGGCAAGCGGATAGTCCTGTCCAGTGGTCAGGGATGGACTGGCCATATGAAAGTCAATGGGACTTTTTCTGACCAGGCCAACTTGTGGGCAGGCTGTCAAAACCAAATCTATATAAAAAGTAAACATTACTAAATTTAAAGATATAAAGTTACAATATCATCAGGCCTGCCCATAAAAGCGGCATATATGTGACCCTAGACCACAAAACCAGTCATAAGGGTCAATTTTTCGAAATTTAGATTTATACATCATCTGAAAGCTGAATAAATAAGCTTTCCATTGATGTATGGTTTGTTATGATAGGACATATTAGGACATATTTGGCCGGGATACAACTATTTGAAAATCTGGAATCTGAGGGTGAAAAAAAATCTAAATATTGAGAAAATCGCCTTAAAAGTTGTTCAAATGAAGTTCTTAGCAATGCATATTGCTAATCAAAAATTAAGTTTTAATATATTTACAGAATGAAATTGACTAAATATCTTCATGGAACATGATCTTTACTTAATATGCTAATGATTTTTGGCATAAAAGAAAAATCAATAATTTTGACCCATACAATGTATTTTTGGCTATTGCTACAAATATACCCCAGCGACTTAAGACTGCTTTTGTGGTCCAGGGTCACATATAACACATACACTACAGTTCACTAAGATTTTCTAATGTTTTTGAAAGAAGTATTTTATTTATTTGATTAAAACACTGCAAAAGAGTAATAAATAATGTCAAATATTATTACAGTTTAAAATAACTGTTTTCTATTTGAATATATTTAAAATGAAATTTATTCCTGTGATGATGATTATTCATGTGCGGTCTCATGATCCTTCAGAAATCACTCTAATATACTGATTTGCTGCTCAATAATTATTTCTTATTATTATCAAACCATTTTTAGATTCTTTGAAAAAAGAAAGTTTCTTTGATAAACAGAAATCTTTTTACTGTCACTGATCAATGTATCTTTGCTGATCAAAAGTACTGACCCAATCTTACTGACCCAAACTTTTAGTGTACAGTATATAGCACAGTTAACTTACTAACAATGTATACATACACATACAGTATTGTTACAATATGTAAGTTAATAGGTTAATTGTGCCACATCTCTGAATTTAGATACACTGTAGTAAAAATAAATTCAGTTGAAAATATACACACACTTCTACACATTATTAATGATCTGCCCCACAAAAATATTAATTATTATATTATAAAATGTTAATATTATATTAGTTTTAATATTACCGACATGTTATGCTAAAATCTCACACTACAATGTATCAGCTATAAATCGCCTAATCATAGTCTCTAATTCTAGTCATTGTGTGATGATGGCAGACTGTGATGAGACACTTCAGTGCACAGAGAACCTCCACCATGATCCCATATGTCATGTAAGAGATAACAGAAACCTCACCCAATCAATTTATCATGCAAAAAAACAGCACTTCACTGTGAATTATGCATTATCTTTGAAATCTCAAAGGTTTAGCATGATGCTGTATGCATTCAAACTTTTATGTATACATAAAAGAAAAAAAGGGAAGCAAATGCACATCCAAACAATGGCAATTAGCATATGTGTAATGTCTGTGCCTCAGCTTCCAGTGAACTCTTGACACATGAAATGCCAGGGGCCTTTAAAAGATAAATGATTGATAGAGACAGAATGAAGCATAATAGAAACAATAATAATAATAATAATAATTAGTTACATTTATTTAGCGCTTTTCTGGGTACTCAAAGCGCTTTACATGAAAGCGGGGGAATCTCCTCAACCACCACCAGCGAAACCAGAGAAACAAGAGCGCCACAAATTAATATCTGCTTGTGTTTGCCATTCTAAATGTAATGATTAATGATGGGTTTACCTAAAAAATGTGGAATGACCTTGCTACACAGTGAACTGTAAATTGACCCCCTCCAATCATTGTTTTCAGTGTGGGTACAGAACCCCATAATAAAACCGAATCCCTAAACACATTGCATAAACGAATAAAATGTTTGTTAAAGAATTTAAGGGGAACTGCTGTTTCATGAGAAAATGTGATGAATCCAAACCTGGTCTGGAGCTGTAGATGAAATTTTTTAATTTTTATTCACTTTTTATTAATCAAAGAATCTTGAAAAAAATATTTGTAGGTTTACATAAAATATCAAGCAGAACAGAATAATTTCTGAAGAATCATGCAACAGCTGAAGACTGGAGTAATGGCTGCTGAAAATTCAGCTTTGCCATTACAGGAATAAATTACATTATGCATATTACATTATATATTAGATAGAAAACCGTCATTTTAAATTGTAGTAATATTTTACAATGGTCAGACACAGACTGTGGCACCATTATCATTTATCAGCCGCTTGCCAAGATACTAAAAATTTTCATCTGTCAAGAATGGAATTATGAAATCCGAGCCATTTTATCTCACTATATGATTTGTGCAATTCCTTCTCCTCCCATGTTGCAGTGTCACAAGAAGGCAGCACTCACTGGTCACAAATGTAGCAGACAGAAACTGACCTGAACCACAGGGGGATGCTTTGTTCTGAAATCTTCAAACAACAGTCCAGCCTGAAGCTAGACCATTAATAAAAGATGGTGACTGCCTTCAAAAAACACAAACAAATGACGTACCCATCTACTAATACAAAATGCAGTCAATAATTATTTATTTAGACAAAACTATCATTAATAATTGAAAAAAAACATTAAAAATTATTATCTAATTTATTTTAAAAAGTTTTAATTGTTTAATAATTAAACAATTAATTAATAAAAAAATAATATTTCTGTTTTTATTTTAAAACTATATATACACTATACACTATATATATATGTGTGTGTGTGTGTGTGTGTGTGTGTGTGTGTGTGTGTGTGTATATTATAAAACTAATTGTTAAAGCAATTTTTTTTGGTGAAAATACAGCAAAATGGTGATTAGGTCCATATAAACATAGTAACATGGTCGTATAATTATTTTAAAACTATATATACACTATACACTATATATATATGTGTGTGTGTGTGTGTGTGTGTGTGTGTGTGTGTGTGTATATTATAAAACTAATTGTTAAAGCAATTTTTTTTGGTGAAAATACAGCAAAATGGTGATTAGGTCCATATAAACATAGTAACATGGTCGTATAATCAATTTTTCAGAATTTAAATCCCTTACTCACTATTGGGATATGTTCCCATCACTGAAAGAATGAAAATGCTTCCCATAAATCATAGGGTTTTACCATGCACAGACTGCTATAGGTCAGCCAGATCTTCCATAAAAATTTTCACAGTTTCACACATGATATTTCCACTGAGCTCTGCTCAATCCTGAAGACACAAACAACAGATGCAGGGAGCAGTCAGGTGTGAAATAAAATCTAAAACATTAGCCGCCCATCTAATGGCTCAGGGGATTGTGTGAGAAATGTGTCTTGTAAAATGTATATTTCATTTGCATGACCTTCTGGAGCTCTGGTGATGATCAGAAACGTCATCTCACACTGTGCTGTATTTCTCTGGACCACTGCTGCTGGATGACGAAGAAAAGCAATGACACATGTTTTGTATAAAACATAATTTGTATAAATTCTGAACAATCACATTATCTAGGTCTGTTACTTTCAAAGTGCACGCAAACGTACTGATATCTAAAAGAAATTGTATTCAATTCCACATTACCAATTACCCTGCCTTTATATAATATTAGGAAAATATTAGATGAAAGCTAGCCTGTGCATGCTCAGTATTGACTGATTCTCAAGGGACTGATGCATTGAAATGTTTTTTTTTTCCTGCTGTTAAAGCCAAAGGGAGTTTCCAGGGTGAGGCCAATAAGTATGAGTCAGTTTTTATTTTAATTTCAGTGTATTTAAGCCTCTAGTCTTAAAGGGATAATTAACCTCACAATCTTCAGAACATCATCTGTTATGTTTCACAGAAAAAAGGATAGCAAACAGGTTTGGAACGACATGAGGGTGAGTAAATGATGACAGAATTTTCATTTTTGGTTGAACTGTCCCTTTAAGAGAAATATTTCCTGATAGTGAGACTTGAATTACTAAGAAAGAATGGTTCAAATTTAAATAGTAGTTTGACAGTTTTATATTTATTGGGGCCATAGCATTTATAAACTTACATGCATTCTACTGTACATGCATTAAGTTTGATTTCAGTTAAGGGTGTGATCAGTAAAGGTGCGGTCACCTTTTCAGCAACATTTAAGCACAATTTAGAGGGAAAAAGGTCCATTGTCTACTGTCAATAGTGTAGCGATTTATGAAGCACAGCTTACACAGTCTGATTTTTGCAAAGTTGGACTAACAGACCTAGATATTGTGATTGTAGCTCGGCATCATCCAGTATGTTCACACGTTAATCGGGCTACAACTGGCTTGATGTTGCACTTGCTCTGAAAGGTGATGATGTCTAATTAATCCTTCAAATGTTCGATTACGCACTGAGTCAGGCAGCTCAACCGTAACTGTGCTCAAATGGAATAACTCAAGATAGTGACCGTCAGAACTTGTCTTGAGGTGACTATTAGCTTTTGGGGAACGTGCTTACCTTTCTCCCTGGTTAGACCCTGGAAAACGGCTGGTGGTGCAGTCATTCTCTCAGAGCCCCTGCGGGCTTGGCTGGACCGTCTCCTTTCTTTCTGGTGCACCTCTCCAGCAGGATGCTCCACCTTCAGCTCTGGCAGGCCCAGGCTTGGGGTTGTGCTGCTGGGTTTGGGCTTCTCTTCCATGGTGGATGTCTTCTCTTTAGGAGCACTGGTTGGGGCCGAAATGGTTGGAGGAGGTGCAGTGGGAGTCACGATTGGTTCTTTAGTTGCTGAAGTCGGGGTTGTGGTTTTTTTTACTGGCTGTGGGGTCTCCTTGAAACCCTTTCTGGAGTCGTGGGTCAATCTTTTGGGACTTTCCTCTCCACAGGACTCCAGAGCCAGTTCACTGTCCAGCTCTGCTTCACGTTCCTCCCTCAAGATGCTGTACTGCATGGCAGTGCTTAGGGCAAACGCAGGGGTAGAAGATGGGATGGGCGCTGTGGAAGGTACTGTGGTAGATGAAGTTGTGCTGGGACTCTTACTGAAGCTCATGTAGCCAGTGCTGGGAGCTCGTGGACTAGGCTCTTCAGACACCATCTCAATCTCAGAGTCGCCAGATTCGGTACTGCTACCCTCAACATCCTGGGGGGAAGGAGGCAAGGTGGGTTTTGGGGGAGAAGACTTCATCTCCACTGGGGAACTGTCCTGCTTGGAAGTAGGTTGAGAGGGTGAGATGGGAGATGTTTGAGTCTTGTCTTGGGTGGAGCTCATTATTTTAATTTCACCAGGCTGGATGTTTGGATCCAAAGAAGAGTCAGACTCTTCTATAAAGAAAGAGAAGGAGAAATAAAGGACAAGGAGTAAGGTAAGGTGTCTTGTGGCCATCTGGTCTGCCAAGGCATCCCACAGTGTAAGCATGTGTGTTATTTCCTCAACTATGGGCACTTCTGACCTGGTTAATTTCTACAAGATCAACTCTGTTCAAACACACTTTGGGCCCGGGATGAAGCTGCAACAATAAAATCTAAACATAAAAGTAATTTGAAAGTTGCAAAATAAATGATAAAGGCATGATAACAAGCTTCCAAGACAGTTTTAATGTGAGCTTCATGTAATAAAAAAAGGCTGAATTCTGTTTGTTTTAATTAAACTCCTTAATCCCCAAGGCATAAAGAAGTACCTGAAGTTGAAGAATCACCAATTTATTGAGTTTGAAAATGTTTCTGAACGTTCTCTTTCGCTACCTCAATAGCTTAAAGCTGTTTTGTCTTGTCGTGGTGAGCTTTTGAACGGTACTCTGACATTTACTACACTGATGTTTCATTGGGCCTCACCCGTTTCTGTTCTAACTTGAACTTTTCCAAAATGTTTGGAACTGGTTTTGCTGCTTTTTCCACCAGATCTGTCTTTTTTATATCATAGAACCGTTAATTTTTCAGTCACTTTACATAAAAACGAAGCAAATAAATAAATTTAAATGTATGAAAGTTCCCAAATTGACAAATACACCTACACAGGAGCAAAAGGTCAGCTAGCAGAGGAATTTAAGGTGGTGTAGTGGATAAATTACAGTGAAGTGCTTGTGTGGGATGGTGATGCCCACCTGTAGGGGGTGTAGATGACTCAGGGCTTTCATCCTCAGGCTCTGAGAGGGTGACGGTTGGCACTCCCTCCAGCCCCAGACTCAGAATACTCTCCTTCTCTGACACTGTAAACGTAGGGCTGTGCTGGACTGTGGTGGGCGATACAGATGTAGGTGGCATTTCTGTCAGGGTGATTTTTACTGGGCTGGCACTACTGCCGGTACCTGGAGACCGATAGGGCTGGTAATCAGACAGCTCTTCATCAGATGGTTCCTCTACATATGGGAAGGTCTGAGAGTCCAGAATTGCAGCAGAGCCGATGTCTTCAATGTCCACTTCTACCGGTGATGGGCTCTTCTCCAGTTTAGTGTACTGGGTGGGCTCTGAGAGGCCACTCATCCCCCACTCCTCAAAGGGGCGCTGTGAGCTACAGGAGTCCTCTTTACGACTGATGTCCATGTAGTTGTAAAAAGAGTCAAAAGATTTCTCAGAGTCATGTATCTTGTGAGAGCTGTCAGTCTGGTCTGCACTGGGGTTTATCTTGATGCCGGAGTCTGAGGTCAACTGGGAATGGGATCCAAAGGTGAAGTCTTCCCTGCTGGATGTATTTTTGTCACCAGATCTGCCCAGACTGCCAGAAAAGTAAGAGGTGTCTTCATGTGAGGCATAGCTTTGATTGGACAAGAGGGAGGTGTACAGGTCATCCCTATCATCAGTAGATGACTTCTGGAAGTTTAAATTTGACTTATCTGCATGAGAAGAGAGGAACATGAGCAAGAATTATAACTTATTTTAACATACTTAAAGCACAATGTTTAAACAATGATTATTCTATAAAATTAGTGTTGTTATTCTGACTCAAATCTAGTCAAATCAAACAAAAAACCCTATAGTTTTACACCCTTTTCCAATATCACACTATGGAGCCCATAAAGGGACTAAGTGATGGGAAAAAAATAAGATGGTAGCAAAAACTGATATAAATCACTCACAAAACTTTTGCATTCCCCAGAAAAACGTAGCATTCGCTTGCAAAATGTTTCGCATTCTCTCGAAAGCGATTAGTGTTATCTCGCAAACATTTTATGTTCATACACAATACTTTTGCTTTCGTGTGCTTCACATATGCATTCACTAGCAAAACTTTTGCATTCACAAAACTAGAGAACAAATGGGGGAAAAAAATGGAAACTAATGCATAGTTTCTCTGGGAATGCAATATTTTTTGGAAAGAAAAAGAATAAGAATGTAAAAGTTTGTCGTGAAACATTATTGAGAAGGAACACAAAAGCAATACAACAATTTTTCCTCCCATCTCATATTTTTACATGACCATGTAAAAGGGAGGTTTTTGTTGAGCTCAATTAATACTTAATTTAATTGTTGTCTTTTTATTTAAATTTTCCTCTAACTGTATTTCATATTACTTGTCTTAAATACAATGGATTATATATTCATATTTTAATTTGTTTGCATATTTTTATAAGCCATATTTTATGTCTCTACTAATATGATTATACATTGTTGTACTGTCCTTTTGCAGTTGTATTATATTGTTAAATAAATACAGCATCCTAGATGAGAGCTGCACACCAGAGCAGCAGTTTGATCTGATCTATAACGGCATGCTGTACCTCACAAAGCTTCTTACATCAAGTGACCTTGGGGTGAATTCGACTGTGTGCATGTGTTGTTTGTGAAATTCGGATGCTAGAAAGATAATACGTATGTGTGTGTGTGTGTGTGTGTGTGTGTGTGTGATTCAGGTGGTAATTTTTCTGAAGTGTTCTCAAGAGGGCTTTATTGGTGTATGGCAGTGACAGTTCTCATCAGCAGTTAGTGACGGCACCATCACAGCCCCCTCCACACCAATTCTCCTTGTCTCTAAGTCCTTCTCATCACATTGGCCACTCCTCCTTGTCTCTCTGTCCTTCTCTCTATTACTGCAGCTATTTGTGGCAAATGACAGTTTTCCAGTTCAATGTTTATACGAAGGTCGACTGCAATGGTGTCACAAAAGGGCTCGAGAAGCACAAACACACACACTCACACAGGGATCAGAAAATTAGCAGACTGGTGGTGACACCCGAGTATCTCCCTGCCTCATGTGAAATGTGAAGTTTCATTTTGTAAATGTTAAAATACAGCATAAAATGTTTTTAAAAAAATCCCTATCACATGTTTTATGTGCAGAGACCAGGGTCAGAAATGATCCAGGCCTGAGGTAAAAATTCTACTGAAAGTGATAAATATACCCCAGATATTTAAAATGTGTAAAAAGAAAATGTATCTGTAGTGTTTTCATCTGTTATCTAAAATTAAGTATATTGTATATAATATTATTACTTAGAATATTCCATTCTAGCCTGTGTAGTTATGATTTTAGTGACTGTAGTGCTATAAGTGAATGGGTGAGGAGGAGAGAGGGTAAGTGTGTATTGTTTTGTTTTCAATATCTGTCTTATTTCAGTTAGTTTTAATCCAATTGTTTGTTCCGAAAATGACTTTTTTAATTTTTAATTTTAGTTTCCCTCATAATAGCACCACACATTGTACCATCTGCCTATAATGAATCCAATAAAAGAAACTGCAGCACACTTAAATAACATTAACAAACTACCTTCAAAGTTTAGTTTTAGTTCAGTTTTTAGCTCAAACTCCCAATTTTATTTTATATAACACTTTTTTTTTTCACTTTCAGCATCAGGTGTGTTTCCCGCCACACCACAGATGTGTAACTGTGGATATTTGCATGGCTTGTGTAAATCGCCATACTAACATGACCCCACTCCATCTCTGCCTCTGTACTGCCCTACATTCACTGGGCAAACTGACTCCACTGGGACTCTATTTTTAACCATCAGTAGCTAAGAAGTGTGAGGATCTATGAAAAAAAAGTGCAGAGAGAGAAGAGAGCCACTGATACTTCAAAAACAAAAACCACATCAACTCAAAACCTTCTTTATTACACTGCTAACTGATAACCTTAAAGGGGTCATATGATGCAATTTCATTTTTTCCTTTCTCTTTGGAGTGTTACTGCAACCATATAGCAACAGGATCATCTCAGTGACTGCCACAGAAATGTTTCTGTATGTGACGGACAATCCTGCATGTGCATCAGTGTTCGCACCACACAATCTCCAGCCCACACCTCTCACAGTCAACATTTAAGCAGCGTGCAAGCTATGACTCATCCTCTCAAAAACACAGCAATAGCGAGAACTCATGGTGGCCTTAAGTGCTGATCTTTCATTTAGAGTCCGTTACTAAATTGTCTTTCACCTGAAAAAAAGACTGCTTAGATTTCGAAAAACCGGCATATACAAGTTGTTGCTTCTGCCAAATCCTACTACACTGGTAATTCTCTAACTTGTATAATTTAAAGGGGTCATATGATGCTATTTTAAAGATCATTATTTTGTGTATTTGGTGTAACAGAATATGTTGACATGCTTTAATGTTCAAAAAACACATTATTTTTCAAATACTGTACATTATTGTAGGTCCTCTATGCCCCGCCTCTCTCAAACGCTTCGTTTTCTACAAAGCCCCCTCCTTTGACAAGCGCAGTCCGCTCTGATTGGCCAGCTGACCCAGTGCACTGTGATTGGCCGAACACCACAAGCACACCTCGGAAATGTAACGCCCCTTACCATAAACGCGAGCTTCATCTTTCAAAATAAACGTAAAGACACAGCCCGAGAGGGGAACAGAGTAGCGTGACAGACACAGTGATGAAGCTGGTATGTGCTCTCTCGCGCTCTCTCTCTCTCTCGCTC